GGGGGGGCGGGAGCTCCAGAGGGGCGGGGCCTCTGGCATAGGCCCCGCCCAGCGCGTCACACGTGGGTGCTCCCGCGGGCCCCGCTCTGGGCATCGGGCACAGGGCTCCGGGCTGGGAGCTGGGCACCGGCACCGGGCACCGGACCAGTCACCAGTAGGACTGGGCACTGTCAGGACCGGGCAGTACCAGAAATGGTCCCCGTTAGGACTGGTCAGCGTTAGAACCAGCTCCTGTTAGGAGCAGTCGCTATTAGGACCGATCACTATGAGGACCAGACGGTATAAGGACTGGTCACTTTCAGGGCTTGTCATTGTTAGGACCAGGCTCTGTGAGGACTGGTGGCTATTGGACCAGCTAAAACTTGCCCCAGTCACTATTAGGACTGAGCACTTTTAGGACTGACCACTATTAGGAGTGGTCACCATTAGGACTGGTCACTGTTAGGACTGGCTGCTATTAGAACTGGTCACCATTAGGACCAGCAACTACTAGCACCAGTCAGTATTGGCACGAGCCACTATTAGGACTGAATTGCTACAACAACCGGTCACTATAAGGGCCATTCACTATTAGGACTGGGCACTATTAGAACCAGCTGCTACTAGCACTGGTTACTATTAGCACTGACCACTCCTAGGACCAGTCACTATTGGGACCCCAGGGCATGGCCCTGACTCTACTCCCCAGCAGCAGGCACCCCTGGGTGCTGGCAGCGTGCCGGGCATGGTGTGGGCTGTCACATTCCTAAGTGAACCGCAGGTGCAGGCACGTCCCGCCTGGCGGGTGAGGTGACAGGATGTCACAGGGCTGGGATGATGGCACTGCCCATCAGGGCACTCCTGCAGAGCTGAGCCCTGCGGAAACTGCCCCTGCTCCAGCGCCCTCACCACAGCATCGCTCTTCTTCCCAACAGCCTCACACTCAGCTTCCTCCCATCCCTGCGAAGAGTAGGTGCTGGCAGGATGTGAGGGGCTGAGAAGAGACCTTTTGAGGTTGGGTTTGGCATGGCTGAGGCTCTTACACAGGAAAATATGGGCTGGGTTTTGCCATAAATTAAATCCTTCCTTCATGACCCGCTGCAGGTCTCAGGCTGAATTTACAGCTGGGACCGTGGATCTTTGCTTTGCCATTCAAAACTGTATTTTCCCTTTATTATTACCTTACCAGTGCATGGATGCTTCAAAAAAGCCCACTGCACTAAAACTGTCCCTGGGGATGCTGCAGTGCAGGTCCAGCTTGGATTTGCTGATGTCTAGTAGGGTGCTGAGCTCACAGTGGCCTCCACTTTCCACTTCCATGGGTTCTTGCTCAGCAAATCTGCTCCTGGTTCCTGGTAGGAAAAAAAAGGGTGGAGAAAGCTTTTGTTTCCTCCCAGCTCCTTTGAAGTTCTGCTTTGAAGCGGGTGGAGAAGGGGAGAGCCCGGCGGGTGCTGGGGACAGACACCCCGACGCAGGGTGGGTGCTCCCTGTGACTCAGGGGTGATGGATGAGTGAGGTGGGGGTGTCCCCAGCCACAGGCTGGGGCAGGCAGCAAGCAGGGACCTGTGCCAAGATGCCAGGCACTGACTTCCCTGGGAGAGGACAGATGAAGCCTGTCTTTGGGACGAAAAAGGGTTGACAAAAAACCATCCCTGCTGTGGTCCTGCCTGCATCCCGCTCCAAGGCTGGGACCTGCAGGATGTGTCCATCTGTGGAGGAGCCAGGCAGAGCCCTGTGCCAGCCCACAGAAGGAAAGAGAGGACGGTGACTGCCACCTGTGCAAACCCCGTGGAGCGTTGGGCAATGAGGAAGCAAAAGAATTGACCAAAACCACCCCCAAGGCAGCAGCGTCAGGGCATTGCATCAGCGCTGGGAGATGCTCTGCAGAGCACTTCCCTCTGTGGTGCCAACCACTCTGCAGCCCAGCCCGGCCAGAAATGTCCCCAAAGGCAGGCAGAGAGGGGACACAGCGCTGGGGTGCACAGTGCTGGGAGATACCCATCCTGAGCAGGGTGCACCTTGCAGCAATGCTGCTGGGTGACCTGCCGGCAGCCCCCAGTGTGATGTGCCAAGACTGAGACTGGGATATTTCATCAGGAGCCATCCCTTCCTGTTCTGCCAGTTAATATTCCAGGGTAGGATCAGTCCCAGCAGCCTGGGGCCAGGCAAGGTCCTGCTGCTTGCTGCCACCAAGGACTTGGAGGTGATGGCTGCCAGGGCAGGTCCCATCCGTGGACATGGATGTTGTAAACCCCCCCCCCCCCCCCCAGTCCCATCCTGGGGCTGCAGTCTGAGGTTTCCGTGTCTTTCTAACACATCAACTACTTCCTAAAACTTCCCAGGCCACGTTCTCCAGAAGTCTTCTTCCCCATTGTTGCCTCTTCATGAGCTCCCAGTCTGGGCATGAGATCCCCCAGGGTGCCTTGATTTGCTCCCGCACGCACGCAGATGGGTTTGTGTCCTTCTGGGAGCCTGCCATCTCCATCCCCTCATCCTCCTGTCTCCAGGGACACGATCCAGGCAGGGGAAAAGCCCTGCATGGAGGGGACTCACCTTGCCCCAGCCCTCGCCACCGGTCGGACACTTCCATGTCCTGCTCTCCCTCCGGCTCGTCTCATTCAGGGGCTGTCCCTGCTGCCTCCATCACCTCTGTGCCCCGCGGAGCCAGCGGGGAGCCCCCGGAGCCTGCAGCGCTGCCGTTCCCGGGGCGAACGGCAGGGGCCAGCCCGCGCCCGCGCTCGGCGCCGCCGCTGGAAGCCGTCCCCAGCAGCAGCGGAGGATGCTCAGCCTCTGCCATCGCCCAGCGCGCCCGTCCCCGTCCCCTCCGGCCCAACACCGCCCCAAACCGCTGGTGCCGCGCCGGGAGTGGCCGCTGCCACCCCAAGGCACACGGGGCAGGCTGGGGCCACCGGGCTGTGCGGCACATGGAGCTTGTCACCGCGTCCTCACCATCACAGGGCTGGGAGATGGGGAGCAGCACCCACGGCTCACCCGTGCCGTGCTCTGCGGCTGCCCCGTGCGCCATCGCCTTTGGCAAACATGGGGACACTCGTGCTCACATCCACCTCCTGGGCAGCCGGGGGACCCCAGCTCCCCTCCTCAGAGACGCTGTCAGCCCAGATCCTGGCCGAGCCACATGGATGTTAGTGGGAAATTTGTCTTTCACGACTTTCAAATGCTGTTTCCTCCCTCCTTGGCCGGCCTGTGGTGGGAAAGCATTGAGGAATAACCCAATATCCAATGCAACCAAAGGCAGGCTGGTGGGAGCTTGTCTTTTGGGGTTTCCTTCTCTTATTGCTTTCCCAAAGAATAAGCATTCAAGAGGGCTCTGGGGTGATTCAGTAGAGCAGGAAAGGGCAGGAGACAGGGGGATGCCTGTTCCCTTTGGCAAATCCCACAGGATGATGGTCCAGCCTTGGGGATTTTCCTTCCAGGGGCAGTGACTGCCCAGTCAGACAATAAGGCTGGGAATAGCCTGGCTTTATGGGGCAGGCTGCTTCACCCCCTGGCACTGGGGTCAGCGGGAGCAGAGAATGCTGATGTAGAGAGGATGGGGACTGAAGTGGGTGAACTCACAGCGGTGCAGAGGAAGCAGTGACCTTTGGGAAGCAATCTCCTCATCCACTGCTATTTATCCAGCTTCCCCAGGGGCTCCTTCTGCTGAGCCTGACCCTGGATGTATGCACAGGCCAGGCTGGGAGATGCTGGGCTGTGGCTGTCTCCTGTCCAGGGTAGTTCTGGTTTGTGGAGCTGAACACCTTTACTGCTGGAACAACAGCTCTGCAAAAGACTGAACCCTGCTGCCTGCTGGGTGACCCTGGGGAGCTGAGCTGAGAGGAGAAGCCATCCACTCCATGGAATCATAGAATCCCAGACTGGTTTGGGTTGGAAAGGACCTTAAAGCTCCTCCAGTTCCAACCCCTGCCACGGGCAGGGATACCTTCCACTAGAGCACAGTGCTCCAAGCCCCTGTGTCCAACCTGGCCTTGAACACTGCCAGGGATGGGGCAGCCACAGCTTCTTTGGGCACCCTGGGCCAGTGCCTCAGCACCCTCACAGGGAAGAGCTTCTGCCCAAGAGCTCATCTCAGTCTCCCCTCTGGCAGGTTAAAGCCATTCCCCTTGGCCTGTCCCTACAGACCCTTGTCCAAAGCCTCTCTCCAGGTTTCTTATAGCTCCTTTTTAAGCACTGGAGCTGCTCTAGGGTCGCCCCAGACCTCGGTTTGTCCCTCAGCATCCCTATGGCCCTGCGTGCTTCACAGCTGCCACTTCTCAGAGTGCAGGATATGCTGTTCCTGGGCTCATGGATCCATGCCTGCCTGAGCAGAGACTGCAGTTACCTGTGAGAGGTTACCCCAAGTCAAGCTGCACCCTCTTACTGACCATGCACCACAGGCCTCCTTCGGCCCCAGGGAAGGGCTGGGGCCAGGGAGGGTTCAGCATCTCTCCATGTAGGACCCCAGAAGAGATGGGTGCTCAGTAGAGAGCAAGGCTGGACCACCAGCATCCCAGGTGCATCCTTTCTAGCATCCTGTTCTCCATAGGCACCCCAGTATCTGTAGGCACTACATCTCTGTAGACATCCCAACCCTACAGGTACCTCTCTCTGTCATCCCTCCAACTTCTCTGCCAGCCTCTGGTCCAGCCTCTGGGTGGAACTAGATGGGCTTTAAGGTCCCTTCCACCCCAAACCATTTTGTAATTCTATGATGATCTCCTGAGCAGCACCAAGACCTCAAAATACAACTTATGAGGCTAGGTTATATGTAGGTATATATAAAATAGATGGCTAAATTATCAGTATAATCATCATTAGCTGGCAGAAGAGCCCTGAGTGATGCACGGTTCTTGGCAGATGGGACATGAGCTTTCCTAAGTTTAAAGGAAACCAATTTACTGGAGGGTTTTTTGTCCAGCCAGTTTTGACTGTAACAGGAAAAGTCAGTATCTAAAGAAATCACACTATTGCCAGAGAAGTATCCCCCAAACTACTCACGCTGCTATATCAATACAAACCCACACTGCAGCAGAGCCCGATGGCTTTTATTTCAGGAGCCGTTTGGAACATCAGCCTCCGAACTGATCCCACATGCAAACAGCAGCACCCGCAGGGTGGCTTTTGAAAGCCTTCCCTTAAAGCAGACACACTGGCCCATAAAGAGGGCTTGTATTGAAGAGCAGTGGATGTCCCAGCTGCATGGGGCTGGGAATCCTCCCGGCAGCAAAGCCGTTTGCTTCGGGGTTCAATGCGCCGAGCAACGGGGATGCCTTTGCGCTGGTTTGCCCACAGGGAGTGGAGCTGGTGCTCGTCCCGGGGGATGGAGCTGCCCCTAGGCTGGGAGCAGGGAGCACAGGAGGCTCCTCTCCCGGGCACGCCGCAGGTTCAGGTGTCCGGGAGCACCTCGGTGCCTTCAGCGCTGCTTCCTCCACCGGCGCCGGGAGCATCCTGCAAAACCAGAGGGTGATCGGGACCGGTCCCCACCGCCCCGGGTCCATGGCAGGGGGGCAAAGCGTTCTTAGGCCCCATGGGGCCAGCTCCCGCGCATGGGTCAAGCGTGGTTTCCCCATCATCCCCACACCCTTGGTCCCAGGGTGGCCCTTGGAGCTATCCTCCTCCTGGTCCTCTCCTCATCCTCCCTCTGCCCTCTCTTTGCTCTTCGCCTGGCTGTAAGTTATCCAGGAGCATCTTTAGCCTGAGCTCTGCTCTTCCCCCCGGCCCAGCTCTGTTATTGCAGCTCTTGGCTGCCAAATTCCCAGGAATTCCTCCCGGCCGGCGCTGACAGCGTTTACATTCAGCGCCGCTCAGATAAAACAGATCGGCTGCGGAGGAGCCTGGCGCGGAAGGAGGGGCCGGCTCCTGCTCAGTGTCAGCCCCACCACGCTGGGATGACTTTTTCCTGCCTTTTTTTTGTCCCTCCAGGAGCTTTGCTCTGAGCAAGGAGCCACCAACCCCCCCGTGCTGGTGAGGGTGCCCATAGGGAGGTTCACACAACAAAGCCTGGAGCTCCTGGCTCTTATCTGGGTGCAGATAATGGAGAAGAAGAGACATGTCCTTCAGGCTGGTGGGAGCCTGCAAGCTTCAGCTCCAGAGGCTTCTTGCCCTGTGCCACCCAGCACAACAAGGGAGGACTTCTCCTCACCACCACATCCCACCACAGGCTGGGTTTCAACGGGCTTTGTGCAGCGCAGTTACTTCATATTCTCTTGTTTAATCTCCCCCTTGCAGATGCGTTTCTGTCTGTGCCCTCCCGGCTCTCCCTTGGCTGTCCCTGGTGCCGGTGGGTTATGGAAACAGGCTGGCGATGTGCCACCTCTGAGCCAGCACCTGCACCGGGCCCATGGAGCCGTAACTCACAAATCACACAGGGGCTTGCGTTGGAAGGGACCTTAAAGCTCCTCCAGCTCCAACCCCTGCTGCGGGCAGGGACCCCTTCCACTAGAGCAGCTTGCTCCAAGCCCCTGTGTCCAACCTGGCCTTGAACACTGCCAGGGATGGAGCAGCCACAGCTTCTCGGGGCAGCCAAGGTGGTTTCTGGAAGCTGGATCTCCACCATCTCGCTTGGATGAGGGGAGCCTCCTGGAAAGCAGCATCCCCAGGCTGGGACACTTGGGAACAGAGTGGGTTTAGCCCACGCCAGGCACAGGGCAGCCAGAGACTGTGGTCACAGCCAGACCAAAGTGATGGAAGTGGGGTAAATACCGATACTAAGCGAAGGGATGTGTCTGTATTTTCTCCCTGCAAAGTAATGCTGAAATTCCCAGGTCCTTTTCAACAAGCCATCGGAAAACCAGCTCCATGTCAGCACCCTCCGGCCACTGCTGCTTCTGGCTATTCTCAGCTCAGCGTGCAAAGGTCTGAGAGCTCCAGGTCACCACTGCCTTCTCCCCACTCCTCAGATGGCCACTCCTTTCTCTCCTGGTTTCCCAGGCAGTGTTTTCCATGGGGAGCACAGCAGTGTGCAGGATTTGCTGACTGCTTGCTTCCACCTGGAAGAGGGAGCAGGATGTGGAGCAGAGTCCGAGAACTCGGTGCTTTACCAGCACCAAGTAGTTTCTCCCCCAGAAAAGACACATCAGGAGAGAACAGATGGAAGCAGGCAGATATTCCCCTCCCCAGGTTAACCTGTGGTTCCCTTCTCCATGGCTATGGCAGGTTGGGCTTGGCTAAACTGCAGGGAAGAAATAGGCTCCCCTGTAGCTTGGGGACTCCAGAGTAGCCCAGGTGCCTGCCCGTGTGAGAGCTATTCCACCACATGCAGGGCTGGAGAACACTGCCGTTGCCTTCAGCCCAACAGGAGACAAGCCAGCATCAGGCTCCCCAAGACCTTGGGCAGCCCCCAAGGCACCGACCTCTGCCCTTCTCCCTCTCAGACCCCACTGAGCCCTCCTCAGCCTCAGACCAGGGTCCTAAGCAGGGATCGCTCCCCTTCAAATTGCTTGTGGCCAGATGCGGGTGGTTTCCACCACCCTGGTGGGATGAGCTTCCCCTTCCCTTGCGCTGATGTAACTTGGCATCAGTGGAGAAGAGCACAACAAAAAGGCTTGCTTGGGTTTCTTTTCCAAGCCTTGCATCCCACAGAAATGGGGCTTATGGGACCACAACATGCGTCTGTCTGTCTGTCCGTCCCCAAGTCCTCTGCCAACAGCTTTGGAAAGGTTGGCCGGCATCAAGCAAATCTGACAGAGGTCTCAAGTACATCATGGGCCCGGTTTACAAAGGAGGGAGCTGGAAAGATCCATGGAGGGAAACCACAACATGACCCAACCGTGCTGGGACCCATCCCACTGCAATGTGACCCAGCCGCAGCGAGAGGAACAGGGGGAGCCGCGTGGGACCGATCCATGGAAAACTTGGCTCCTGCTGCTCAGGGAGCTGCCTGCTGGTTTTGAAGGCTGGGAACTATCTCACGTCCTTGGTGGTCGCGGTTGCTGCGTCCTGAGGCCATCACCACTGCAGGTTTCACGTCCAGAGGAGCTTTCGTCTTGGGGCCTGCCTGGATCCATGTGCCATGGAGGCTGCAAACCAGCCTTAGGACATCAGGAAGGGAGAGTGCCCGGCCAGTCCCATGTAGTTCATTCTCCATACCTGCATTTTGGGGTGGGCTGGCAAAGGCACGGGGACAGCTCCCGATCCAGGGATAGCCCTTGAGGTTTGCACAACGTACCTGGAAGCCAAGCAAAGAGCCCAGAGGAGGAGCAGACCTTCCCCTTCCCACTTGAGCCCATCAGTAAGATGCCTCCTGACACCTCTACCACCACCCTTGGCGCAGAAGAGCAGTGAAAGGCACGTCAGGGCACATCTCCTCCCTTTGCTGCTGCTTTCCAGCCACAAAGCCCCCTCCCCAGCATCCCACAGCACGACCCACAGACCCACAGACCCCTCCACCCCGACCCCGCCAGAAAGAAGCCAAGCAGAGCTGGAGGAGGTTGGTTGGTTCATCCACTGAAGATACAAGTTTCAGTTTAATAACGCCATTCTGTCGGGTTACAAACATACTAAAAACCTACAAAAAGAAGAACAAGTTACACCCATCGTACACGAAACCAGCACGGAAGCGCCGAGGAACACGCACACGAACAGTATCCGCAGCGGTCACGGAAAGACACGGAGTTACATGGGACCACGCCGGGCTCACGTCTGTGGGTCACGGTGGGACTGGTTAAGACATACCAACAGTTAGAGACAACTTCAGCTATGGGAAGCAGTTAGTGGCTGCCCAAGAGGGCAGGCCCAAAGGGGGGGTTACCCCTGCCTGTGTGTGAGTCAGCCCGAGGTTAGCTCATGGGGGTCCCTTCTACCCAGCAGTGCTCCAGGGCAGCTTCCCTACGGCAAGGGGCAGGGAAGGCTGAGCTCTGGTCCCCACTGAAGTCGCTGGGCACCTCCCCACAGATGCTGGGATCCCCCTTACTGGGGCAAACTGGAGCAAACTGGCAGAGATGCAGGAGGATTCCCCCGGGAGAGCCTGTGGCTCTGGGGTTGGTCTCACCGTGAGAGGGGATGGATGGTGGTGGCACAAGGTCTTTAAGGGTTCCTTGTCCAAGCGGCCCTGGTGGCACTGGGGTGTCCCCCTAGCTGGCTGGGTGTGTATGGAGCTATACCTGCTGTGAGTGTTGGCCATAGGGAGGGGGCACATATAGTGGATGGGATCCATGTCTCATCCTAACTCAATGCTTCCTGTTCCCTCCAGCACTGAGCTCCCTCTGACCAGACACAGTGATGACCGCAGGGTGAGGGGACACAAACTGGTTGATGTGGTGTTCCCAGAGAGAGCCAGGATGAGGTGCTCGGGGGGGACACCCTGCCCAAGAGATCCCAGATCCCCCCCCAACATTCCTCTGCTGCAGGGGCCACGGAGTCTTTCCCACCCAGGCCCTGGGTCCCAGCCCAGCACTGATGCTAATGCAGAGGCATCCGAGCCAGGGGCCAGATCCTGCCACCACCAAGGCAAGGAAAAGCTGAGCCCAAGCACACCGGGGGGTGAAGTGCTGAGCCCCAGTGAATAGGAGCTGGGGTTAGGGGGTCCCCAGCCGGCTGCAGTGGGTGCAGGGGGTGACAGGACAGGCAGTAACAGGGAACAGCTCTACAGGCATGTGCACCAGAGAGCCAGGACCCAGCCTCCCTTTCTGCTCCTCCGCACGGCATTCCTCAGCCCTGTCACTCTGGAATGGTGTTTCTTCCTTTTTCTGCTCATTTTCATCTCTCCCAGATGAGTTTCCCCTGGTTTAAGCAACGCCTCCTCCGCACGGGCAGCAGCAGGGGGGCAGTTTGCTTTATCTCCATCTCCTCCCTCCCGAGCTCTGCCCTGGCTGCCCTCCCTGCTCCATCCCACTTCCTCCAGAGCTGGTAAAAATAAACATGGTTTTGTTTGCGTGTGTTTGCCTGGCTGCAGTGGGGCTGCAGGGGGGGGGGCTCCTCGAGGGACAGCAGCTGCACACATCTGGAGTTCCTCGGGAAAGATGTGCCTGCAAAAAACAACCCCCAGCCCAGCGCATGCGGCTGCACCAGGTCACCGCCTGGTTTGTCCTAAGGGGTGCAAAGGAACAGGTTGGAAACACAAGAAGAAACCAAGCCCCATTCCAAGGTGGGTGGAGGGGGGACCTCACTGCTCCCCCAAAGCCAAGGCACTCGGGTAGGTGGGGCATGAGCATGGGAACTTTCCAGCCACCCCAAAATCACCTCTATTGATGGTGACCGAGCCCGGTTTCGGCTGTGGGAAGGGAGAGGAAAGGTTTGCACTGCACAAAGAAGATTCCCAACCTGGAGAACATTAACCTCAAAGGTCAAGGTGTGAGCTTGGTCTGAGGGGAGACCCCCCTGTACAGAAACATTCCTGACCCTGCATCCAAGGAGCAGGAGCTCATTGAAAATATGCGCTGCTGGACCCGAGGGGCTGGCGGGGATCAATGCAGCTCGTGATGCACCCCAAAACCATCAAACCCAGCAGTCCTGCTCCAGGCAATCGCTCTCCAGCCCTGCACTGAAGCAAGGTCAGTGACTGAACAGGTCTGTTCCCATCTGCATAGGCCTAATCCTGACCCCAGCAGCAGCTGCTCTTTGAGGGATGCCTCTGCCAGCCACGCTCAGACATGAGCCACAGGCATCAGCTCTGGCACTGTCACTGGTTCAGGCTGCTGGGCTCTGTTTTGGGGGTGCTGACTCTAAATGACAGCAGCAGAGCAGCATCACTTGCACCTTGTGCCTGTCCCTTTGCTAACCCCCCCGGACCTTGCCAAGGACAACGGTGCCGTTATTTCACCCAACCCTCTAGGCTCCATTGCTCCTCTCCACCTGGTTTATTGTGGGACACCAGGAGGAAAGAACAGCAAGGCCAGAGAAAGGGGTTGTTGTGACATTAGTGGGATCCTGGGGCTGTTTTGGGACTAACCTTGGTCCCAGGGCCCTGGGGAAAGCAGCCAAGAGGTTTAGAGCCCTCCCCAACCTCTCCTTTGCCCAGCTGGGGCCCTGGGTGATGGCACAAGCTCCTGGCTATATAGGAGTGAGCCCAGAGGAACAGGAGGTGACGTCTTTCCCCCAAGCACATCTCTTCTGCTGCCTTCAGCAGCAGCCCTGGGCTGAGCCAGCATCTGGGCATGGGTGATGGAAGGGGCAGGGCTGGGGCCCAACAGGGATGCTGAGCAGGAACCTGATGTTACAGCCGGTAGAATAAAGTGGAAAACCCCATCAAGAGCTTTTCTGGGAGCGGGGACCCCCCCTCCCCAGCAGTGCCAGGGGGCAGAGGAGCCCCTTGGTTTGGAAGCAAAACACCAGGGTAGTGAGGCCAGAGCCAATCTCAGAAGGGAACCCCCCCTCCCACTTCAATAGGGAGCATTGCCCTTAATGCTGGCACTTCAAAACCATCAGAGACCTTTTGGGCAGTGCTGGGTGATGAGGATGCCAAAGCTTCCCAGCACATCCGATGCCTCATCCCCATCCCTTTGCCAGGCATCCTATTAATCCAAGCACATGTGCAAGAGGCACCGGGGCTGCTCCTCCTCCTTTTTGTAACTGAAGGGGAAACTGAGGCAGAAACCAAGAGAGCTCACCCAGAGCTCCAGGGACAGCCGGCGCTGGAGCAGAATGAGCACCGCAAGCCCTGCAGCCACAGCGTGGATTCGGGGGGGGGGGGGGGGGAAGAGGCCTTTGCCAGGCACTGGAGCCCCTGAGGAGGGACACGGCTCCTGCAAGGGCTGGTTCCTACCAGGCACTTTATTTGAAGGAACCCAGTTTCACCAAGAGGGCAGGAGCATGCTCCAAGCGACAAGTTCGTGACTGATTTAACAGAGCAGGGACCTCCCTTCACACGCAGGAGCCCCCTCCTGCTGTGTCCGCTTCATAGGACACACTGATCACATCCTGAGCACCCCTTGTCACCGTGCGGGGCAGAGCTGCCCCAGCCCTTCATCCCTGCACCACCCTGCTGCCGGCTGCTGGCCAGACCTGCAGACACCAGCTCCCAGGGCGATGGTGCAGTGTGTGCCTCACAAGCCCATCAAGGGTGGGTTGGATGGGGCTTGGAGCAAGCTGCTCTAGTGGAAGGTGTCCCTGCCCGTGGCAGGGGTTGGAGCTGGAGGAGCTTTAAGGTCCCTTCCAACACAAACCATTCCATGAGTCTTCCTTCTTCCCTAACGACAGAGGAGCACATCCTGCCCACCCCCTTGCTCCCTTCAACCCCGGGAGGGTTTGCAGCAGCCAAGCAAGGAGAGGGACTATGGATGAAGGGAGAGGAAAGGGCTGCTGCCAACCCATGGTGCAGGTGATGGGACGCCAGGAATGGCTCTGGCTGCAGCCATCAGCCCTGTCACCCTGCCAGGGGAGCAGAGAAAGTGCAAAGCAAAGTGTTTTCAGTGCCAGCCGGTGCTCCCCGTAAGCATCACACCCGCAAAAGCAAGGAGCCAGGTTTCCCTGGGGGCTGTGCATGGAAAACCAGGGTCACATTGTTCATCAGCAATGGGGCTGCACAGCACTGCTGCTTGGGCAAAGGGCTCTGAGGTGGAGCAAGCGAGGCGCAGGAGGTGGGAGGTGGTGATGGACAGGCCAGGCCAGCGAGATGGAGGCAACAACCAAACGCTCTCCCTTTGTGCTCTGCATCCCTTTCCAGCATCCTCTGCCACCGCTTCACCCCGACCCACCCTCACCCTTCGTGGTTCTGGTTTATTTTGGCTTATTGAGATAGGTTTTAACCCCCTTGGAGATCCAATTGTGAGTGGGCAGCCAAGGGAGCCGGCCCTCGCGGGCTCCCCAGCCCGAGCACAGACCTTGAGCAGAGACCAGAGTGAAGTCCTGGGGTGAGTGAAGCCCTCCCTGCCCCTCGCCCGGCCCGGGGGCCGCTCACAGGGTGGCGGTGGGGTACTGCGCCCAGCCCACCTCCTTGTACGCCGCCGTCACGTGCGTGTAGATGAGGGTCTTCATCTTGGTCCAGGCACCGTGCGCCTCCGGGGTGAAGTCGTTGGCGTACTCCTCAGCGATGACCTCCAGCATGACACCAGTCAGTTTCTGCAAGGCACCAAAGGGTTAATAACTCACCGGGGAGCAGCTAACAGCGGGTCTGGGCTTTTCCTGCTCCTCCTGGGAATAGCGATGCTCCGAGGTTGATGGCTGAAGGTCTGCTGGCATCCCAGGTAACCAGCCTGCCGGGGCAGGGGGCAGGCGGACACCCAGCACCATGGGGTGCTGCTGCAGGCTCCAGCATCTCCTCAATTCAGGCACCTCCAATTATTTAGTCCCTTCTACCATGCACTTCTAGCAGAAGGGGCCACACAGCCACAGCCATGCCGGAGGGGCTGCAGGCAGGATGCAGGCAGGCAGGCTTCCCTGAGCAGGAGGTATCGATGCTCCAGCTTGGCTGCACTTAGGAACGATGATCTGCATGGGACAGCATCGCAGTGGGACACCTCAGCTGAATGGGGAGCAACCCCCAGGACCAGCCAACCCCCTCCAGGTTAGGACAGGCAGCACCACAGCTCCCTCTCTCCTGCCCTCTTCCTAATTCCTAAAGCATCCCCGAGATGCTCCTTTTACCTTAAAGTAGATGGGCTCCACTTTGTGCTTGAGGGCATGGGCCTTGCCCACCAGGGCCAGAACCGAGGAGACCTTTTCGGAGTCATTGAGGTTCTCCACCACAGTGTTAATGGCACCCATGACCCGCCGAGCGTGCTTCCGCAGTTGCAAGCTCCTCTCCATCTCCAAGGGGTCCTCCATGTGCTTGAACTGGCTGAAATACTGCTTGGCCGAGGGGAAGTTGACAAAAAACCTGCAAGAAAGAGCAGACATCAAATTCCATCAGGAGGGTGAGAGCAGGCGGAGAGGTTGAAGCAGAGCATGGAGTGGTGGTGATGCTGGAAACCACCCCCTTGCATCTAACACAGCCAGGGCTGCTTTTCCTCCCTGAATTCCTTTGGAGCTGTGGTATTCAGATGCCTGAACCCAGCAGGTTAATGCCTTTCTCCCCAGCCTTCCTTATCTGCTGCAAAAGCATCACAGCTGGATATTCATCAACAAACCAGGCTGAGCTCTTGGTACCCAGACTCCTCCCAGGAGCGCAGATGCTATATTCATACCCACATACATCATGTCCTGCCTCAGAGAGCTGGAGGGGAGCGTGACCACCTCTCTTTATCCCAGCCACCCTCTCCCAGCCCCTACTCCCCAGTCCCATGGGCTTTATTCCTGCACTGTCACCCAAAACAAATCCCCATGCTGAGGATGCCCCCACCTTTCACCCGTCAGCCCCACCAGCGGCTCATGTCACTGCTCACCTATGCCAGGAGCTGATGTCCCACAGCGCCCAGCAGCCTCTCTGAGGGGCCGAGCACCCCTTTTGCCGCAGGATTGCACCAACCCCAATGAAATGCAGCTGGAGCAGGTGAAGCTGTGGCCGCAGCTGAGCTCCCTGGGGCAGAAGGTGACAGAGTGCAGGGCTGGGGCCACTGATGGCAGCAGCTGGTCACTCTCAGCAGGCAGGGCTGATGCTGGTCTCACATTAACCACCCGCTTCCACCCCATTTGCACAGGAGAGAGCCACGTCAGTGCTTGCTTCCCCTTTCACCCAGCTCCCTCCCTACAGGTTTCTCCTTGCCTCCTCCTCCACCTGGACCAGGGAAGGATGCTCAGGAGGTGGCAGACATCTCCCAGGACTGTCCCCATCATCCAGATGGAGGCCCTCATCCCTCTCCCAAGCCACAACCCCTGCCCCAAGCACCATCCCAAGCCATGTGAATCCATCCCATCTCTATTCCCAACCATCACCTCCAGGACCAGGTGGGATTCTTTTCCCCACTCCCCAAATCATCTCACCATTGAGGACCAGCCTCATTTACCACTGCATTATCCTCCTTTTCCCTTCCTTCCTCCCTTCCTTCCCCCGCTCCCTTGGCTTGTGAAAGCTTGGGGGCATTGCCAAGGAAGCGGCGTGAAGCAGCGCCTGGAGTGCACCACGGCTCCTGCTGCTTCCCCGAGGCATCTGGGATTCATCAGATGGCCCAAAATAGGTTTTGGAGGTGTGAAGGCAGCGAACAGGGTGGGGGAGGAAGGAAGGAAGGTGGAAGAGGGAGACAAGGTGTTGCTTTTAAAACCAGGAGGGGACCCAGGACAAAACTCCTGTTACTGCCCAGCCTCCCCGTCCGCAAAGCTCCTCCTGCCACATCTGGTCCCTGTTGGGAGAGCTCCCCTGAGGCCGAACCGCCTCCGGCTCCTGTCACCAGAGGTGCTCAGTCTGTCCCCTTCAGCCCGGAGCTGTCAGTGGGGCGGCTGGGGATGGACATGGGTCCCCCAGCCCCAGCCATGCAGGCAGCGCCATCCCCAGGATTCATGTCTTCCGCCCTGAGCAGTTCCCAACAGGACAAATGTTCCTGTTCCACCCAGCCCCAGCATCCTTCTCCCCTGTCCCATCCCTCCCACCTCTGCTGCAGCCCCGGTCCTGCAGCTCCAGCCAGCCCCTGACATCAACGTGCTCCAGCTACAGGCATCCAACACCCCACCAAGGTCAGAGCTAAGGCTCTGCCATTCCTGGATCTTTTCCCCCTTACCCTCTGGCTCCGGCCGGCATCCCCTGGGCCCTGGGAGCAGGGGGTGCTGCTGGAAGGGGGACCTGCTGCCCACAGACCACCCCAAGCAGGGGAAGGAGGCTGCCAGCGGCCAATGCATCCCAAATCCCAAACCATCAGAAGCTCCCTGGAAAACACTGTTTGATCTCAGCTCAGGGACATGAGATTGTGAAGAGCCAGGGCAGGAAAAAATCCTGGTTCTTTCAACAGAAGGGGTACAGCAAGCGGGAACCAAGCCCTGCATCCCCAGGGATCACAGCATCATCCCCCCAAGAGAAGGACCAAAAGAAGCCACTGGGACCGATGCACCTGGGAGCAGGAGCTGAGGCTTCACGCCTCCCCCCTGGCATCACCTCTGCCTCTCTGCCCCTTCCATCCAGCTCCACCAGGATTAAATCCCCAAAACCCCCAACCTGGGTGAAGCCAGTGAAGGATTCAAATATTTGGTTTCCAGCCTTTCCCCACTTCACAGACCCTGGAGAAGATGTTCCCATGGGAGCGGAGCACTAACAGCTTCCCTAAGGGACAAGAAAGAGTGGAGGGATGCAAACCCAGCAACCCCCTGCTCCCGTGCTCAATGCTCCCCTTCACTGATGGGGAACTGAACCAGGGGAGCCCAAAGCATCTCTGCTTTGAGCTGAAGCAAACCTGTGTCTGGCTGCAGACCTGCACCTTCCCCTTCTGCAGGGGTGGAGAGAGGAAAACTCCTGCAGGAAGAGCTGGCCTGGAGCAAATACTTGAGCTGTGGAACCAAGGGGGAAGGAAGGTTGGCTCAGTGCTCCGTGTTAATAAACAGAGAAGATTAATTTAACACAAAGGTTAAATATAACCAGAGGAAAGGAGAGGGAAAGGAAAAAGAGGGGGAAGAAATAAAACAAGGCAAACAACAGTGAGCTGGGAGAGGTGTCAGTTGGGGATTTTCCATCTACAGAACATTTCTGAGAGTTCAAACATCCCAGGCTCCGGTATTTTGTTGGGTCATGATGTGCGTGTGTGCGTTCGGGGCTCTTTTTCTTCATCAGAGTCATTAAACAGATGACATTTCCCATTCCATATCACACCAGATGATTGATAGGAAGCAGATGCCTGCATACCAATCTCATTAAGTTTCTTTTTAAGCGCTTCCATTCCGCGCCCGCTCATTTGTGCTCTGTGAGCTGCATCTGGAGCCGATGGACAGGATGTCAGCTTTGCTTTTCCTCTCCCTTTTGCCCTTTTAACAACTTTAAGGACACAACAGCAGAGCCAAAGGAAATAATTAAGGTGCAAACCCACTGCAGTCACTGGGAACCTGGTTTCTACCCAGGAGAGGCACCACTTCCACATCTCCCCATCTTCCTCCCTCTCCCAAACCCCACACGGAGGAAACCTTCATGCCTTTTGCCTCCTTCTGTCCCCCGCTGGAAGGATGAAACCTGGGTGCTGCTCCCTTGGCCCCCCAAGCACCTAAACCCTTGATGCTTCACTTAACCCTGTTTGCAAACTGCAGGGGTAAGTACCAGCGAGCCCTCCAAGGTGCTGGGAGGCTGCAGCTGAGCCTCAGCCACCTCTTGTACACTTGGTTTTGCTGGCTTTCCCCACCCGTGCATTCATGTTTTCTCTCACCTCATCCCTTTATGTGGGAGAAACTCTCTCTGACGCAGCCTGGAGCCTCTCTGTGTCCCTTTTCCAACCTCTCCTTCAGCTCCTCTTTGCTCGGGAGCCTACAAAGCAGCTGATAATGGGTAGGCAGGTGCTGTGTGATGCTGCTATTTATTATGCTGAGGGCTGCCACTCGCTCCCCCCTGCTCCTCTCAGGCACCTGTAGTCCAGCATCCCGGTTCCAGGGGTGCTGGGTGCTGCCTGTGCTCACAGCCCCCAGCCCAAGGTGGGAAAGGTTCCAGCCACATCCTTGCCACTGCCCAGCAAGACAGGGAAAGGCAAATGTGAGTGGAGGAAGAAGAGGATGGCGCCTGCTTGTGTCCTCTCCATGAGGGCTCATGAGGGTGGAGGTGGTGATGGGCAGCAGCTCCGGAGTGAGAGGGCTGGAGGCAAAAGGGCCAAGCTCCTGGTCCATGCAGTGATGCTAAATTCAAGTGGTACAGCTGAGGAGAAGAGGTGCTGCTCTCCTCTTCCCATGGCCTTCCTCTGGGGAAGCCCACGTCCCCCTGCAGAGCCTCGGGAGCAGATTCCAGCACATCTCTAACACCCCACGCACTGCAGAGCCCCAGGGACCAGGACACCCCAGTGAGGGTGGGAGAGGTCCCAGCAGCAAAGATGCAGCTGAATAAATCTGGGTACGAGCAAGCAAGCCCTGGGTTCATGTCCTGCTCACACCCCCAAGTCCTCATCGCTGTTGTCTTCCCCTCCCACATGTGTAGATTCAGCCCAAACCCCCTGGGCTTTGGTGAACCTTTAGGCTGGGGTAAGGACAGCTTTCACCAGATAAATGAATTAACAGCACCAAAGTGGCTCTCCCTCACACCTCCAGTTTCCTACGGCCCTTCACTCAGTGCCTTCCTCCACAGCATCATCCTCAGCCCCGCCACATCAGTGTCCTTGCCCCTCTCTGCTGCCAAGCCACTGTCCCTGCCTGCATCCCTGCCCACGAGGAGCAAGCAACAGGCAGGGACATCACGTCAGCCCCTCCACCTTGACACCAGCATATCCGCCCCCCACCAGATGATGGGGGTTAGGAAAGGATGCTAAGAGGTGACTCTTGCCTCTGAAGCATGAGGAGGATGGAGCTTGCTGGAGCCCCGCTCCATGTCCCTCATCCCCAGGGACAGTGGAGGGGTTTGGGGGGGAGAGTCAACCCCTGGCTGGGTGGAGCAGGGGTAACCCAGCTCCACAAGGCCATGGTCCCTGCGCTGGGATCTGTCACCCCTCCAGCAGAATTCCAGTGAAACTGGGAACACGACGTCCGCCACCTCCTCTCCCACCCAGGGACGTCCCTGCAGCTCTCGGGGTGCGGAGCGGGATCTTTTTAGCCTTCGCAATAGATGCAAGAGCAGCCCTGGGACAGGGGAATCAATCACTCTTCTGGGGTCACCCCGAGAGCTGCTGCAGCCCCGCGGCTGTGCCGGGTGTGGGATGTGCCGCAGCAATCCCCACGCTGCCCCTTGGCCATGAAAGGGCTGGCTCCAGGTCCTGCCCCAGCGCAGGGAAAGGGGCTGCTCCTGCACAGGGCTCATTGACCCCCCCCCCCATCAGCCCTTCACTGCCCATGGAGGGGGCTGCTGCTTTGGAAAGGGTTCCTCATGGGTGTCCTGCTCAGCAGGACACAGCCCCGCTGCTCTTGGTCGCTCCTTGTCTCCAGAGGAACATCGCTGCAGCTTGAACCCAATGGTTCCGAGTGTGTGACAAGCCCTGGGACAGGGACGTTGCCACACAGGAGGCTTTCACTGAGGCCTTTTCACAGTGAGGTACTGCAGCAGGGGCATCTCCCTGAGCTGCTTTGCTCTGAAATTGGCCCTCTGGCATCCAGAAACAGGCCTTTCCCTTGGGACACATCCCCAAAGCACTTTGGCCTTGGGGCTAGCTGCAAATCATCCCTTTAAATGCCAGTTTGGGGTGGATTCAACCCGTGGGTTTAGATTCAGCTGGGGAAAACCAGGGTTTTCTGCACGGCCAGACTCATTGCTCAGGCTCTTTATTTTCACCTAAACCTTACAATAACATCTGGCATCCAAGGAGTGCTTTTCTACTGCAAAGCTCTCTGCAAGCTGCCTGGATCCAGGTGTATTAGCTCCAGCTGAGCGGCCATTGAAATCCAAGGCCTGATTCTGCCCTGGCAATCCTTCCACTTCCCCTCCTTCACCTCCTCAGAGAGAAGGAGAAGGGAACAACGTGGGGAGTTTGGAAAGTGATGGGTCTGGAGCAGAGCTGGAGGGAACAGTGATGGAGAAGCCCTGCAGAGGTGGCCCAGCCCGCGGTGGCCGGTTGCGTTGCCTGTCCTTGGCACGGCATTAGTATTTGGTGTGGATTTGCTTAGGAGCTGACAGAAACCATCCCTTTGCTTTATCCCCTGATGGGATCCGTGGAGTTTTGTGGTCCCACATGTGTGACTGTGCTACGTGTGTGTGGGTGTGGGAGAGGATGTGTGCGATGGGACATGGGACAGGCTGCGGCTTCAGTGCTGGAGGCCCGGGTTTAGTGGGGTCTGGAATGGGGTGAGGATCCCGAGCTGATGTTCCCCCTGCCTGGGTGCTCTCTGGGAGCATGGGGTACTGGGAATCACAGAACCAACCAGGCTGGAAAAGACCTTTACATTCATCAAGTCCAGCCCTGACCCCAGCACTGCCAAGGCCACCACTGAACCATGCAATAAATCATGCTTGGGGAGTGATGAAGAGCTCCTGTGCTGCACAACAAGCTCTAATGCAGATGCCAGAGGTGCTGAGAGCTCCTCTCACACCCCTGGGCTCCCCAGCTGTGAGCTTTCGTGAGGGGTCCTGTTAAAAAGACTGACCCCTAAATTCCAACTGGGGAAACTGAGGCACAGCAATGAGCCAGGGGACATGGGGACCTGTGAGGGGAGCCACCAGCCCATGCACACAGCTCCAGATGTACAGCTCCAGCTCCTGCTCCAGCCCCACAAGGGTTAAGGCAGTGGCTGTGAGATGGAGCCTGCAGAGGCCCCATAGCCCCGGAGGAGGAGGAGGAGGATGAGCGCGGAGAGGAGCCTGTGCTTCCTCCACCGTGAAGCTCCCCCACCGAGGAAATTGTCAATTAGAGGCAGTTGGAAGCACGCAGCAGATTCCCAGGATCCTGTGGCTGCTCAGCCAGCAGTGCCCATTGCGGGTGTTTCTGTCCCCTGGGCCCCCAAAGGCTCTGTGAGAGCAGGACCCCGCTGTGCCCCTGGCAGGACCGCAGGGGTTTGCTGTGGCTCCAGGCACTGCCATGAGGGCTGAGAACACATTGTCCAAATCCGTGCCTCAGTTTCCCCATCTGCAAAGCACGGAAAGGCTGGGATGGAGGAGGAGCTGTGGGCAGGGGCTGGAGGAGGAGCAGAGGGAGCTGGGTGGGCACTGCAGCCCTCCCTATCACTGCCTTTGGGTGGGCATCTCTGCCTCCACCCTCAGGGCAATGAATCGGGCCCCAGGTTCATTGTGACCCTTTAAATTCAGAGGTGTTGCCCTTCCCACATGGAAAAAAAGTCATTCCCTGCCCCCAGCAGCCCTGGATGGATGGAGAGGGGATGGAGCAGGAAAGCATGGAGGGACCCTCTGCCACCAGACACAGGCAGCTCCCCGCTCACAACCCCAACAACAGAAATGCAGGTGCTAACTGATGTGCCACCTTTTATCACTCTGCAGACGGGGGTTGCACCAACCAGGTCCCACTGCCACACACCCCCCTTCCCTCTCCTTGGCCACCCATGTGCACTTTCCTTTCTGCCTCAGTTTCCCCAGCAAGGCGTTGAGCAACTCCAGCCCTGTGCCAGTAAAGCCTGGAGGCTGGCTGGGGTGGCTCTGAGCCCCTGGCACCTTGCGAAGGTGCACCCAAAAGGGTGCTGGGTCAGCTCACACTGGTCACATCGATCACATCCATCGCACCCATCACCCCCATTGCATCCCTCACATCCTCCACATCCATTGCACCCATCGCATCCATCGCACGGCACCAGCAGCCTCCCACCACCCCCTCCCCAGCCCCGACCTCTGGAGCTGCTGAATCATGTCTTGGGAAGCGGCTGCATCCCTCCCGCACCGCCTGGGCTCCCGGCGGCCTCCACGCATGACCCACTTCTCCCGGCGGCTGATGCCAGCTGGGAAACGCAGCCGATGGTGCTCCCAGCCCCGGCCACGGCGGCTTTATCCCGGCACACGCTTCCCCGGGGAGCGCAGGTTGAGCTGTTGGAGCTGACGGGGGGAGCAGGGCTCGGGCAGCAGCAGGAGGCTCTCTTTGGGAATGGGGTTTGCTGCCAGAGGGAGCCGTGGCACAGGGATGCAGGCAGATGTGCTGCTCCAGCCGGCGATGCTGGAGGGGACGGGAGCTCTCCCACACTCCACCACCACCATCCCTGGCGGTGTGCACTGAAAGTCCAGATCTTACTTGAAGCATCCCAGGGAAGCTCTGGCTGAGGGAACGGGTGGTGGGTTTAACTGGGATGTGCCAGGGCACGTGTCATGGACAAACATGGGAAGGCCCCCAAGGAGCCGGGGTTTACCCTGGGAGCCAGCTCAGTCGTGTCCTGGTGGCACAGCAATGGGGGAACCCCTCAGCACAGCAGTGCATCCCAGTCAGGGGGAAAACCTCGAGGAGAAACTTCTATGGGTAAAGTTTGAGTCAGGACCAGAGCTCCGCCATGTGGTCCCCACAGGGCCATGGCTCCACCTGGGTTGTGGGCAGGAGCTGCTGGCCAGGGCCGTGCTGAAGCTCATGGGGAAGCTGCCCCCATGGCAGTGTTCAAGGGCAGGTTGGACACAGGGGCTTGGAGCAAGCTGCTCTAGTGGAAGGTGTCCCTGCCCGTGGCAGGGGCAGGAGCTGGAGGAGCTTTAAGGTCCCTTCCAACCCAAGCCAGTCTGTGGCTTTATGATGGGGAAATGAGGAATTTCTCATCCCCCAGCCCTCTGCCAACTGCAGCTTCAAGCCCAGCCCAGGTGGGTTTGGTGTCACAGCTCCTGACTGGCCCGGTTGCCTACATGGAGCAGGAGCAATGGGGACCACTGCGAACCAGCTCTGAAACAAGGAAAGCCTGAGGAGAGGCAGAGAGGGGACTCAATGTCATCTTGGATTCTCTGCAGAGGGGTCTTGCCCCATTGCAGTGCTGGCAGTGAGCCTGGAGGGGAACCAGCCCCTGCTCTCTGCAGATCCCGTGGGCTCGGGATCCCATTTGCTCTCAGCCTCCTGGAAAACTTTCGGATGATGATTAACAAACAGCGCATCCATCCGAGGGGTTCTCCCAGCGCCCTCAGCCCAGGCTGCAGGAGCAAAACGGGAAGAACACAACCCAGGCTCCTGGACCTGGGTCCAGGCAGGATTCCTGCTTTGCTGCTCCCCGGGATGGGTGGTGGGAGCTTTGTCTCTCTGCAGAGCATCTTTGCTGTTTGCCAACAGGTCAGTGTCGGCATCTCGCCTGCCCCTGTCCTCACCCTCACCATCCTCCTCTCCCCACTTAAATAAGGGAAACGTCCTCTGGGTGCTGCACCCCACTGACACCCTGAACTCCCAGCATCCGCAGCACCCAATGGGATTCCCACCTGGTGCTTTCCCGGGGTACCTGAACAAGGGTTGCACCCCCAGACAACACAAGAAACCTGCCTCTGCTCCCCACCTCCAGAGCATCTCCCCTGCTTGGTTTCACGAGCTGCCCCAGCCCCATGCCGTCGGGTGATGCTCAGCATCCCGCTCCCAGGGCCCTGTGCCCCCCTCTCCCTCCTGTGCCCCCCACATTCCCCCTTCCACCGCCAACTCCAGCGCTCTCCTTCCCGCCGACGCTGCTGCCGGAGGCACAGATGGTGCCCTGGGAGTCACACCTGCTTTGGGTTTGATCTTGGCTCCCAACTCGCATTATTTCACCCGCCAGCCTGCTACGTACCGATGCCATCCATCCACACGCAGCTAACGGGGGACACACACACACACCACAACCCACCCCCAGCCCACCCCAGCACCGCTCTCCTCCCCACCGCGCTCCTCCACATCCCCCCCCAGCTCCATCCTCGGGCTAAGGTGACCTTTGTGATGGCAGCAGCTTCCCCCAAAGTCCCCGCCGCGGCTCCCCCCGCCGCCACCACCCGGCTCGAAGGTGTGGAAATCAGAGGAGTGCTGTGAAACCCTCCCTGCTCCCAGGCAGCAAATACACCCAGCCAGCTCCCCACTCGCTGTCATTCATTCCAGTCCGGTTCTATATATTGTTCTGCCTCTTCCTGAGCTATAAAGAGATGCAGTTGGATGTGCTGCTTCCCTTTTTTTTTCTGCCTTGTTTGCTTGGATTTTAAATACCTGATGAGTATGGAGACCCCCACGTCCTCGCAGTTTGCATAGACTCTGCTCCATGTCTCTTGAATCACCTTTTTCTCTGCGTCTGAGATCTCTTCACTTCTTTCCCATCTCTCAATCTCCATTTCTCCCTGGACTTTCTCCATGGAAAACAGCCGGCAGGATCCTCCGGGAAGCCAGGAGGAGAGCAAGGGAGATGCGTGCGAGCGGGTATATCCTGGGGAGGAGAGACAAGGTGTTTGCTCAGCGGCTCTGCCGACGCGGGGATGTATAAATGTGTGTGTGTGTGTGTGCTGCTGCCGCCGGGCTTGGAGGTGGAATTGAGCCGAAGATCCCGGGGCTTGCTGCGTGCGATCAGATCTCAGCCCTCCTGGTGCTGCCCATGGCTGGAGTTGGCTTCAGCTCGGCTCGGATGCGTGAGCCTGACTGATGGGGAACTGCCTAAAAGTGAAATATTCAAAGGCATCGCAAGACCAGCCTCTTTCCCAACGTGTGAACGTGAGCTCACTTTCTCCCTCTCTCCTCCTCTCTCCCACTCCTCCCTCCTTCCCTGTTTTTTTTTTTTCCCTTCCCAAAAGGGAGGGATGAGGGGGATGTTCTGGGCAACATCAGCTCCGTGCTGGGGGGGGTGGGAGGTTTTTATTCAGCCCTTGTAAACAGCTCCGAGGAAATTCAGAGCCCAAAGTGTGAGCTGAAGTTAGCCCAAGCGCTGCCTGTGCTCAGCTCCCCCCGTGCTCTCGTGTTGTGTGTTTTGAAGGACAGAGCCTCATTTGCTTCTGATTCTTGGGCTGCACGAAGAGCCGGGAGCGACCCCAAAGCGCCCCCTCACCCAGCATCCCTCTGCCACCCCAAAGAGATCAAGGTCCGTCCCACAGGGACTTACTCAATGACAAGAATTTACTCCCCTTCCCGTGGCAGGACCCAGCTGTGGAGGGATCCAGAGTTAAGGCACTTGGGAAAGGAGCAGATTCTTGCTCTGGAGTGCCTGGGCAGGGATGGGGAGCTGGGGAACACCTCCACGCCAGGCTCCCCTCTGCCTTCCTGCGCGTCCTTTTGGGCTGCCCTTTACCCGAATGCCATCCCCAGCTCCCTGACGAGCCGGATGTAACACCCGCAGCACAGCGGGAACGCCACAGGGACCTGTAATAACCGACAATCCCCCAGAGGGGGATCAGACACAAGGGAAGCAGCCGGGCGCGCTCAGCATCACACGGACAGACAGGCTGAGGTGCAGGCAGGGGCTGGGGGTCTGAGCCCATCTGGGGCTGGAGCTTTGGCATTGCAGATCTGTCACTGCTTTTTGCTGTGCTGCTCCTCCAAACCAGCCAGATCAGCAGTGTCAGCACATCTGCTCCTGCAGAGCTGGAGAGAGATGGAGGAGACGCTGCCCACCGGTCCCCCGCTGTGGGCGTCCCACTGGATTCATACAGGGGCAGAGTGGGAGCCCTCGGCTCAGGGACACAAAGCTCAGCTCACCTGGGAGCTGCCAAACCCACGGTGTGAAAGCTCAGCAGCCACCCCTACCTGCCTGGAGGTTGGGCACCATTCAGGTCCTCAGTGACACCACCACGAGCTTCCAGATCACCAGATTGGCAGTGGCCAGCTTGAAGTTTGGCTTTGTCTTCTATCCACTGGCCATGAGCCCGAGCTCAGGCATTAGCTACGATGTCCTCAGGTGGCCACCACTCTCTGGACACAGGGCAGCATGGTCAAGCTGATCACCTCCCCTTAAAATGCAGCGGAAAAGCAGCTGCGCTTACTTAGACCCAGCTTAAAACCAGAGCAACACTGCAGTGCAGTGATGGTGCTTCCAAAAGGGAAAACCCTCAAACTAGAGGCTCAGGTGATAACCCAGGTGGAGCACTGCTTATTACTTCCTGCATAAAGAAAAGGACTCTTGAAGCTTCTGCACTTGGTGTTTCAGTCAGTTCTGGTACCTTCGCCTTGCTCCTCAGCCCTGGCAGTCAAAGGGTCTTGGCCCAAGAGTCTCCATTTAGAAATCTGAGAATATCAGAAAATGCTGGAAAAGTGAGAGATCCCCCAGCCTTTTCCAGGTTTTGCCTCCCTCTTGGGTGTCTCCGCTCTGGGGACTCCACATGTGGCTCTGTGACGGCAGGAGCCCAGCCCCATCCCCATGTACCGCAAACAGGGGATGTGGGTGAAGTAGCAGCGATGCTCCGCTGCCCCAAAATCCCAAACAGCCCTGAACTTCAGCATCTTGCCACAGACATGGGACATAAATCGGGGCCCAGGGTGCAGGCACACGCTGTCACATGCCAGCCATCCGTTTCCATGGTTTCCCATGACTATGGCTCTCCAGGGCTCAGGGTGAGGAGGCGACTTGTTCCAGAAGGAGAAGGATGCTGTGCTGACACCATTGCTGGGAAATCCTGGCTGGGAATTGCACTGGCAGGCCCTGTGCAGCCCTATGGAGAATCTGGTGACCCTTTGGTGCTGAGGGAGGTGGCAGCCCTCACGGCTGGGATGGCGTTTGCTCGCCCTGCCCAGCCCAAGCTGCCCTTGGTCGCTGTCCCAGAGGGTGGCCCAGGGATGGGGACAGAGGACGTGGTCCCCACAGCCAGTGGGAAGGCTGAGCCTGGGTAATCCGTATGGAAGAAATCAGTGCTTCTCTCTCAGATCCCAGTTCAACACGCTGATCCCTCACCCCTCTCCACTGGAGCATCACATCCCTCCTTTCCACCTGCTTCCCACAGACCTGTCCCCACAACAGGGGACACTCAGGAGCCTGAGCTGCTCCTCCCATAGCTTCTGCATGCTAGGAAGAGGCGAAGCTCCTGCTCAAGCCGTTGTCCCCTCGCACGGCCGCAGGGCTGAGGACGGGCTCCCGGGATGCGCCGTGCTCCTGCGGGATCTGCTCCCTCCTGCCGACGGCTTTTCCCGCTCCCGCCGTGCCCTCCCACATCGCCTCTCCTCCTCCCTTGCGCTGGGTGCAATGAGAAATGTACTTGGCTCCCGATCCTCGAGTGGGAGGTGAAGGCAAAAAATCCCGAGCCTTCAGCTCCCCGGCGCGTGGGATGCGGATGATGGCAGAGCCCCCCCCGGCCTCCTCCACTGCCTCCGGGGCGAAGGCGGAAACCCCCCATCCAGACCCTCGGGGCTGAGCCCACCTTCCCTGGTACGCAGACACTTCACGTGTCCCCTGCAAAGTCAGCTCCTCCTCACAAACACCATTTACTGGGCTGGCCCCAGGAGCTCCCTCTGGGAGTGCTTCGGGAAGGAGCCGCAGGAGCTGCCCCAAGCCCTTGGTGCTGGTGTGGTGCTGGGACCCCTCTCCAGACCCTCAAGACAACAACCTGGCCAGACCCAGAGCAGTCCTGGCATTTCGAGTGAAATAAGGCTGAAGATGTCAGTGTGGTAAAGCCAAGGCATCCAAAAGAGCAGCCCTGACTCTGCTCCTCCTCCTTCAGAGCTGGACAGGGAGGAGGAAGAGGACAGGGATCTGACACTTTTGCTCCCACCGATGTGGCCGTGGTATATTGCATGTCCTTGGGTGCTCCTCCTTCGTCCTGCTCTGAGAGCCCATCCAAGCTGCTGGACTTGTCACCCTGACCGCTGCTGGAAGGAAGCCCCCGGTTGCCACCCAGCTCACCCAGCATTGCCCCAGCAATGATTCCCTTCTCCCCTCCCCTAATCCAGCCCTGCTGCTAACTGCAAAGTGCTGTCCAGAACAGGAATAACAAGACTTTAGGAAATGGCTTTGCAGTTCCTGCTGCCCAGGAGGGAAGGATTTAGCCTAAAGCCTGGATAAATGCTCTGCACTTATTGCAGGTTTCCTTCCCCGGCTTCTCTGATCCCAGGAGACCCGTGTGCAATCCTGACGCTCCAGCTCTGTGCTGGCAGTGCCTGCGGCCTCTGAGCCATCGCTGTGGGAATAGGCTGGAGGACACGTCCGGGAGGTAAAAGGGGGTACAGCCAACAGGACCCCCCCCCGAGCCAGCTGGGATGGCAGCAGTGCCGGCATCTCCATCACACGGGATGCTGCGGGATGCCAGGGTAATCACGCAGCTGTTGTCCACGTTGCTGGCGTGCTCGGTCACCCATTGGAAAGAGCAGCAGTACTGAGAGACTGGGATCCCCCAGCTCCATGTCCTCCCCTCTGGGAAGAGCAGGGCCAGGGAAGTGGCAGTGCGGGAGCTGCTGTCCTGCCCCAGCCATGGGCAGCCCCAGGAAGCAGAATGGAACGAAGCTGGAGCAGACATTCCTCCTCTGATTGAAACCAGACCTCAGGCCGTGCTGCCGACTGGAGCTGGTGGGGAATGTGTTTAAACCAAACCAGCCTTCCCTCTCCTTCCTGCATGGAAATAGGGTTCGTCTGCTCAGGGGCTGAAGTACAACAGATGTGGCTTTGTGCAGAGACCGAGGTGCCACAAAGCAAATCCCACAGTGGGACCCGGCCCTGAGCCCCCAGCTCCCAGAGGGGGCCTCAAGCCCTGGGGCCACCTTGACCTCGACCTCATCACCCACATATGGGAACAGGATGGGGGAGATGCTCCGGGGACCGGGACAGCAACAGCGCTGGGGTGATGCCCGGGAAGGGAGCACAGGATGGGGACATGGGCAGGACCCTCGGCAGCAGCGGGCAGGGGTGGGTGAGCCGGGAGAGCGCAGCCTCCCCGTGACCTTCCCAAACCTTGTGTCAGCTTCCTGCTTCCCTCCCCAGAAACAGCGCTCCCAACCCACACAGCCCAAAGGATCCCAAGGATCGGGCAATGCTGGGGAACAGGAGGAAGCAGAGAGGGGCCCTGGGAGCAGGGCTGGGTGATGCCCGGCGCTCACAGCAGGGCACGGCAGGGTAAGAAGCTGCCAAGGCAGCCCTGGAGAGCGCTTCCCACTCACATCAACCTGGTCCCGTGCTGGGAACTGCTCAAACTCCCCCCCAGTCCCACACTGGGATTTGAGGAAACCGAGGCCTCATGATGCAGCCGGGAGGGATGAAGCAAGAGGCTCAGGTGCCAGATCCAGCATCCCAGGGCTGCATGGGCAAGGCCCCAGCCGGCCGCTGCGCTTCCTCGGACCCTGGTGGTGCCACCACCTTCCCCTCCATGTGCCCCCCATGCCGAGCTCTCCCCACGGCAGGAACCAGCCACCCCCTGGGAGCACGGCCCCTGTCAGAGCCGGACCCGTCAGCGGTAAGTGAGGATGACAGGGTCCTTGGGTACCAAGTCAGCGCTTCCAAACAGATCCTCTTTGCTGCTCTTTTCCTTCCTGAAGCTGGTGTGAGCATGGCAGGGGTTGCTCAGGAAAGCCAGGAAGCTAATATATTCATGTCATCTTGCATTTGGTGCCAGGACATGAAGTAAACACCGTCAGGGACCTCGCTCCGGTTCAAAGACAAGCCCTGTTTCTTATTCCGATCACATTATCCATGCTCCCCGTACAGCTTCATTGATTCATATCTTAAAAAGAAAAGCCTTCAAAACCCATTAAGGCTGCCTCGCC